TCCTCTTTTTCTCTCAAGCAGATACATAGATATCTTTTGATCTTTAAGATCTACCCCTCCCATATACGCATTATAAGTGTCAACCACAGCAGGTTTTGCTCGAGCTTCTCCCGCCCGTCTACCTTCGACCATGTCGTTTTTGTGGTAAGTCGACACTGCGGTTACTAATTTTACGTCTTTCCAACAAATAACATAAATGTCACCACAGTGTCGACTTACCACAGTACCCCGACTAACTTTTTATTCAACGGCCTTGATGGCCTCGGGAAGTTGTTTGCGTCGCCAGCTTATGGTGCCAACGACGTCTGTTTTGCATTTTTTTTAAAACCGACACAGTTCGATGGAATTATAAAAATTATCCATAAACAGGGAAAACCCCTTGTTCAGATATTTGTTGAACAAACTTAAGACAATTTTTTCCGTGCACGATTGAAATCCATAAATACACGGAAGGGAGCTCGTTTTCCCTGTATATATCATAATATTCAGGACATAACCAGTCGCGGCCTCGCAGAGTTCGTAACTCTTTATTCCGAATCTTGCTGCTTTGGATCGGATACACTGCCTCCAGCTTAGGCGGCCTTTCCAAAGCAGCAACGATTCGTCGAGTGATGATTCTCTGCGAGGCGCGCAAACGTCTTGGAACTTTTTATTAAGATGTTCTAACACTGGCTTAATTTTGGCCAGTTTCCTTTCTGCGCCATGTGAATTTATATCTATAGTACTATTATCTACAAAATGCAGAAATTTCATTAATAATGTGTACCTATTTATACTCATCACTTTCCTAAACTCTGGCATACTTAAAATGCCGGTGGACCAGTACTCATCAATACGATTCCTCACGCAGATGCTCATCAGTATCATGACCGCAATAAGCCGATAAATTTCGTCCACAGACGTTTCGGTCCCAGAATGGAGGCGGGATTTCGGCGGGATACCTCTTTCGGTCTCTGCGTAGACAATTGTCTCCCAGGCGTATTGATTCGTACTGGCCACTATCGATTCCATGAGGGATTGGTCCCAAATTTGAGTGAAAACCGCTAACGGGCTTATACCCTCAATTTTGGGACCAACACCCTCATTAAATTGCTCCATCACACCCGTGAAGGCCGCAAAATCCTCCGACCAGTTATAATCGGTACTGAGCGTACTGAGTGCGCCTGCACTCAGTACGCTCAGTACTCAGAGCCTTCTGCGACGGCTTCGACCTCGTTGTTGCGATCATTGACGATTTCGTCGTCCCAGATCGTCTGCATTTCCAAATTTATTTCATCTTCAAAATCGTCATCATCCGCTTCACTCCCAGAATCCAAAAGTTGGACTAACGGGTCGTCAAAAATTTCATCCTGAAATAAGATACCATGCAATTCATTCCGAAACCTAAAAATTTCAACAAATAGGGTTACACCCAAGCAAGAAACAAACGAAATATATAATAAACCGATTAGTAGGCAAAGACGGCCCTATCGCTAATAGTACTGTGCTTAGCTGATATTAGTATATCATCAGGGTTTAAGGATATATATCGACGGCTATATGTCAAGATATTTATGGCTGTCTATTTTTTAAATTTAAGTTTCAAGTCTTAAAATCAAGCCTAACACTGAAATCTCATTTTTATCTTAGAACTCTGATTATCATACCACATAAATGTTACATTAATATAGTCATCTAACCACCAAATAAGCAGAGCTTGCACGTATTATACAAATAAAACGTTCATGCATTGGTTCTTCGCGGGAATCGAACTTGGGACCTCTGCCTTAATATGCAGACAATATCACTGCATTATCAATGGAGTTAATCTGCCAGTCGAGACAAGTCAAGCATAAGCCTAAAATTGCAAAACAAAAACAAGTTCCAAAAGCTTGAGAAAACTATATTGCTTGTATTATACCATAAAATATAAGAATTACCCATACCATATTTCATAGTAAATTGTTAATTTAGAGCTAGAGTGCATTTATAAAAATAATATATGAAAGACCGAATACACACCAATCTGATAGTGCGGAATGATTCCTACTTACATATATTACCAGTCTGCATATTGTACCGATTTTGATGGAGCCTGATTAATAAAGTACAAAGACAATAATTATTTAATTAATTATTTATATGGCCTAATCAAAACAAAACATAACATTGGCAAATATAGTTACCTGACTGATCCCCTCGGAGGGAAAGAGATTGACAGGCCTGAAGCTGTCCACTACCTCCACGCTTTCACTAGCGACCAATGATGTGGGACGCCAAGGCTGTAAAAACACATATAAGATATTTATATTAGTTCTTATAAATACAGTTAAATTGTAGTATTTATATTTTATTCTAGATACTCGAACGGAACCCGAGGGTGTCCTCTCTAAAACTACATCCTCAGCAACTCGGAGTGTCCCTGAGGGAGTCCGCGTGACTTCCATCCCCATGACCAACGATCGTGGAGGAGGAGATGTAGATACACGCGGCGGCCAGTCGGACGACGTAGATGGTTTAAAAATGCCTTGAAATAAAATGAGCCTAAATATAAAAAGTAAACTACACAATAAACTAATTAAGAAACTCTTTAAAAAATATCAAATAATACGAAATCATGATAAATAAAATAATACCTGCTTGTGTCGGTGATATCCTCTCCACTTCCATCTCCACAACCAGTCTGGTCGGTGATGTTGATTGCGGCGAACCACTTTCCATTGTCAATCAGGCTAAAAATTAAACATTTCTATATTCAAAAAAAAAAACATAATGAAGCTAACTGAGAAATTCTTTTTTATAATATATTATTGTTAAGAAAATTCAATTATAATAAAAAGAATGTTTTAGATAATTTAATTAATAGGAAATAACCATAGATTATACACTTAATATATAAATAACTAAACTTCTACTAAATACTATGAATTACAAACAAATAAACAATAAAATACAGATTTTTAATCCACCCTACAATTCACTGCACGCGCACGTATTTACGTACGAGTTACGAGCATAGACCTATAAAGTACTTCATTGGTTACGAGTAACTCTTTTTTTAAGAGATTTTATGACCTGGTAACTGAGACCTTTAAGCCATGTCTTATTTTAATCTATATTCTTAATTTTATGAAAAATGATATTATGGAGTGAAATGAAATGAAAATGATTAATTTGAGACATTAATCAACTAGGATGAAATTAAATGAGATGATATGAGATGAAATCTAATCTCAGTAAAATGGTGGTCATTTACTAAGATTTTTCAGTGGACTTTTTGGAGGATCCCGAGAAGTTACGTCCAGCGGCTTTGTTTCATTTTCCCACATTTGTGCNTATTTTCTAAACTTGAACTCAAAGTTTTCAAAGTAAAATTATTATTATCAATGTAGTTCATAGATACTTACAGAATTCATTTTATTTCACTGTAGCTCTTTAATTATAAACACACTTAGAATTATAAACGAAAGTTTTAAAGCGTTTTGGAGGTAAGTCATCATCTAATATAGTAGGTAAACAATAGAAAAACAAACAAAAGAAACTGATCAATGCTTATTGGCAAACGGACTGTCAAAACGTTTCGTTTCATAATTTCGACTAGGATAAAAATAGCAATACGTCCAATTTAAAAAAATCTACATATGTTTTTATTACTTTTTGTTATAAACAAATATGTTTATGATAGTCTACAATATGCTAGTTAAATTATAGTTATAATTTAGAATAAAATAAAATAAGTCTTGAACCTGATGTTGTTTCGTATTTGTAGTAGAACGAAACGTATCAAGAGGCTCGGATAAATCGGAGGGAAGAAGCTATCTACTGTTGGTTAAAGAGAGATGGCACTTATCCGTGATTGTGAAACGCAAACTAAGGATAGATATGCTCTTGCTGATATTCGGAGATAGCTATCTATCCGAAAACTCAGATACGTTATTGAAAACGGCCGTTAATAGCGCGCTGCCGCGCGGTACCGCGCGGTACGCTACAAAACTGTATCTACATGTTCAGCTGATCCGCGCGGTTTGAGACGGACAGACGCATAGATCAAAGAAAAATGAGTACCTAGCGAAGACGATATCGTGTCTATCGATTTTAAATAGTTTTCAACGCAATCATATAAAAATGAAAAGATGCAACTGACATCTTAAACTAGGTAGTAAAAGAATTTTATTCGTATTCTCAGGTCGGGATATAAAATTACAAAAAGGCTTGAAGAAAGTCTTTCGATTAAAATAGGATGCACCCAGTATCGCCTTTGTCTTCTTCTCCGACGTCTGTTTTCTGTATAAAATTAATAAGCAAATTGCTTAACCCGGTCAGAGTAGGCGGGTTCCCGCGGTCAACACTACAACCAGACACGCAGCCAAACCCGAGGACGCCCGACCGACGGGTCGTCGAGGCGATAGTCGACGACCAACGACGTCGGTCTCCGCAGTACGGCGGCCCTGCCAGGCCGCCCGGGCGATGCCGCTGGTGTTCCGGGATACCCCGCTGGGCCATGACCAGCCTGCCGGGTCGGAACGCGATACACCGTTTTATTTATTTATAAAAATGAAATTATCGAATAATAGCATATCTGACTACCGAAAAAATTAATAATAATAATAATATTCAATTAAGTTAGACTTTTGTTTGTCCTCCCGTGTTGTTATTTGAAAACAGAAAATGTATAATTACATACTCTTTTGAGAACCTTCATGGGAACTATTCAAACCTCGATAAAGGCTTAAATCGAATTTAAATTTAAATAAAAAAAAAGTTTTAAGCGTCGTCTTTTTTTCACTTCTTTAGCGTCGCATTCGTTATAAATTTGTTAATTTTTTGTTTTATTTCATATTAATAATAAATATAAATAATAATAATAAAATTATAATAAAATCATAACTATTTACTGTATTTTCTATGGAGTTATGCGTTTTGCATTTTAAATTTAATATAAAAACAACTAATAATAACATTATGTAACGTCGACTCCCGTCTACATATCCATAAATTATTATTACTTCATTAATATAAATATGTGCCGCAATAATCAAGAGCTCCTCGAAGTAACCTTCGCCGGAGAAAGAGCTGGAGACCACGGGTGAGTGACAAGTTTTTATTTGGTTTTGACTTTCACCTAAAAATCTAAACTTCGTTCAATTATATTTACTTCCTTTATTATTACAATTTCATATAGGCTTCGCTTTATTTAGAGTATACCTACATGAATTGCGTTTATTCGGTACACTTCGAAAGATCGTCCTGCTTCTGCCCTCGCTCAATTAGTGCAGTCCGCCATTTTGTGATTTGTGCGTCGCCTAGCGTCGCATTGTTTCGGCAGGGCGGAAATGAAGCAATCAAATCAAATCAAATCAAAAAAGTTTTATTCAACATAAATGAAAGTACATACTTGTTGAACGTCAAAAGAACTACCGCCACTACTAATGTACCGCTACTAATGTATAAGATAGTCATGAAACTAGTCTTTAACACCTTGAATAGTATTCGACAAGTTAATAGTCGGTAGGCAGCGGCTTGGCTCTGCACCTGGCATTGCTGAAGTCCATGGGCGACGGTAACCACTCACCATCAGGTGGGCCGTATGCTCGTCTGCCTACAAGGGCAATAAAAAAAAAAAAAAAAANGTATGCTCGTCTGCCTACAAGGGCAATAAAAAAAAAAAAAAAAAAGTCTGACTGCATTTAATTATTTACTACTTTTAATATTGACATAAATGATGAGCATGAAGATTTACTCTAAATAAATATATATTTTAATCCTACTTCATATTTTAACGTCTATGTTTATAGAACTGTAATATAAATAAAATGATCCTAACAGTTTCACGAATAAAGAGTAGAAATGAAAGCAGCAACATAATATTTAGGTACAATAATGTTTTAGCTCTATTTATTTAAATTATGTATTTTTTTATTGCTTAGATGAATGGACGAGCTCACAGCCCACCTGGTGTTAAGTGGTTACTGGAACCCATAGACATCTACAACGCAAATGCGCCACCCACCTTGAGGTATAAATTCTAAGGTCTCAAGTATAGTTACAACGGTTGCCCCACCTTTCAAGCCGAAACGTATTACTGCTTCACGGCAGAAATAGGCAGGGTGGTGGTACCTACCCGCGCTGACTCACAAGAGGTCCTACCACCAGTAAGCATGTTTCAAAAAATAAAAAAGGCCGTTTTATCATGAGGTGTCATTTGTTATTTCTACGCCTTCATTATTTCAATACTATTTCATGTCGTCTAAGTTTCGAAATTATATTTTCAATTCGCTATATACACGTCCCATCACCGACTTGAACAAAATAAAATGAAAACATTATCAATGCAGTCGAAGTTAATCAATTAATATGCGCTATTGAGGTTTAACTCAAGAACAACTGGTCGGAGCTTGATAAAGAGATGGAACTGCACGAGAAGTACCAGTTTTCAAATAAAAGGAGAAACATCAGAAACAGTTCACATCGAGAAAAGTTCTGAGGTAACAAATAATACAGTCGAATTGAGAGACTCCTTGTTTTTGAAGTATGAAAAAAATAATGATAAAATGGTTCGTAAGATTAGATTTAAACACGCACTCATTATCATCATCAGCTGACAGTCGTACACTGCGGGACATAGGCCTCTCCCAATCGACACCACTGAACTGAACACAATCTATACTAATATATAAATCTACAGTGGTTTTTACGGATGTTCCGTTATAACTACTGAACCATGCATCCGATTGACTTGAAACTTGGTATCCATGTAGAAAATAATCCAATAAAAAGCCTATCCATTAAGTACACATATGTAGAAAATATGTGTACTTAATGGATAGGCTAATATTTATATGAGTGTTGACTGTTGGACTGCCTAATAATAATGACAATAAATAATAATGTTAATTTTAAATGCCCAGCGAAGCGGGCGATTACATACGGCTAGTTAATATTATTGAATTAGTTGGTAGTGATGAAAGACAGCTCGAAATTTTTATTCAGCGCCAAAGCTGATCTTGGAGGTGGCCCAGCACTTGGGAGAGTATACGTTTCGCACCGAGGATCTGGTAAGGGGGTAGCCCGTCGCGGACACGGGAGCTCCGATCACGATACCAGGGGGGGAGCCGACTCTTGGACGAATCATCTACGTCATAGGAGAGCCTATAGCTCAGTTAGATAGTCGGCTAGATGAAGATATCAAACCAATAGCTTATTTTCGCTTGAAATAACTAGAATGTGCCCACGTACTAAGGAGATCTTGGTATTAGACGAAGGCATAGAACTGAGTAAGCACATTCTCCCAGTCCTAGACACGAATCCACATCTCTGTTTTCGTCTCATTCAAATCGAAACACACCGAAATAGGCAGGATGATGTTGGCTACCAAAATAATCCACTTTCAGTAAGGAGAGGAGAGGATTCAGCAGCTTAAAATGCAATGGAAGAAAAAATCCGTCTACAGGTGGTAAGGCGTCTTGTGAGCCCACCAGGGTAAGTACCACCACCCTGCCGATTTCTGCTGTGAATCTGTAATGCGTTCCGATTTAAAGAGTGGAGCAACCGTGGTACTATTGACACATTTTTCGCTAAGCTAAGCATAAATGCCTGTTATATATCCCTGAACCCGCAATGTATATAACGGATAGTGTCCCCGCGGTACATGAGTGCATTGACCCCGGCGTCCCGGGGTCTGTCACCTTCCTGTCTGGTTCTGCCGCGAAGTACTCATGCGTTCAGAATATGCTTTCTGAGGCTCCGACCTGAAGGCTCATCCAACGGTGCTAAGTCCTTGTCTATAGACGAGCGCAGACCGATATACATGTAGACGGACAAGTTCGCTCCGATACACGCTGACGCTTCGTCCTTCGTCGAGATGTCAGTCGAACAGGAAGAAGATCCTCGTGACGGGCATCAAGGTCGTGGATCTCCTGGCTCCGTACGTCAAAGGTTTGTAAGGGGAAGTCTCCGTAGCACTAGCGAGCTGCAGACACAATTATAACTACCTTTACGGTTTAAACGCGTGTTTTTTTACAGCTATGATAATATTATTTTCGAAATTTGGAATACTTAGTTTTCATCTCAGTCGTTCGTCGACACTCAAATATTGTGATAAATATAATATAGAAACAATGACGATAAAAACGTGAGATTAAACCGTAAAAGTAGTTTTCATTAATTGTTAAATTAATTTTGGTACCAATGAAACTTGACGGGGTAGTCATCGGTTTGATATTTTGGAACTAACGACGAAGGGAAGATCTTGTACCGAGCGATTGATATAGGTCGGTAGACCGATGGTCCAAATGTTGTTGTTCGGACCTTGTAATTTTTTTTTATTGCTTAGATGAGCGGACGAGCTCACAGCCCACCTGATGTTAAGTGGTTATTGGAGCCCATAGACATCTACAACGTAAATGCCGCGACCCACCTTGAGAATGAGTTGTAAGGTCTTACTTTTAACAGCACAACGGCTGCCCCACCCTTCAAGCCGAAACGTATTATTGCTTCACGGCAGAAATAGGCGGGGTGGTGGTACCTACCCGTGCGGACTCAGAAGAGGCCCTACCACCAGTAATTACGCAAATTATAATTTTGCGGATGCACCGGATGCCTTATCCTTAAGGCTGCGAGACTTCATGTAAATAAATACTAAATGATGACCGAGCTTTGCTCGTTTTTTTTTAATAATTTTTTTTTAGAAATAGGTATTATTTAAATATGACGTTATGCTTATTTATATTATTTGTCTTTTTAACACGTGAGTTAAAAAGACACAAATAATATAAATAAACAATTCATTTTCTTGGTCTAACCTTAAACTAACCACTCATTGGCTTCGGGTGGCTTAACAACGCATCTGATGAAGTAGCTTTAGTGTTCTTGTGTCTTCAAAGCAGTTAGTTGCTCTCAATTAAGAAAAATAGTATTATTGTTCGCCAATAGATGTCGGGAAAAGTCATAAAGTTAATTATCGATAAAGTTGATTATTGAAAACACGAATAAAACAACTTCGGGAATGATAATTGTTTTGAGTAATTGTAGTAAAGTTTATTTTTGCATGTGCACTTTTTTATCATTAAGAATGCTTGAACGCACTGCGTATACAAAAAAGAAGAGGAGCGGATCGGCTCCGATTGCGAGCGCATCCGCTTTCAGATCTCTTCCAACCGGTCTATGTGCAAGGTTCTACCACCAGAACTAACCGTTTTGTCTTTTAGATTTTAGGCGGCGTGTTTAATCACATTCCGGAGGCTGCCTTCTACATGGTGGGCACCATAAAGGACGTGATCGCCAAGTTACAGGAACTCGCCAAAAGCGTGTAGAGTCGAAATGTTTTATACGTTATTTTATTTGAATAAAGATGTTGGATTTGGTTTTGTTTCATTTGTAGATACTGCTAAGAGCACTACAACGAGTACCTATTTACTTACTTACTTTTCACTTCCTGCGGTGCACTCCTGTAAAGTTGCAAAAATATCGCTTAAACCAAATGGCTTTTGATCCCTCAATTTAAAGTGCATTCAAGATTATTAGGTACTCAATAAGGACAATAGGACTATAGGATAGGTAATGTTACGCGCTGGGCTTCGGGATAAATAAAAATTCTACCGAAGTTTAAATTAAAACTGTACCGTAAAATGGGGCGCTTAGGGATTGAGAGGCGAATTGGGAAAAAAAACAGGAAAATCTTTCGACGCTCAATATTAGTATTATATTCGTTGCAAAATCTTCCATTTGTGTAGTTTAATAGTAGAACGTTGAAAGTTCACAAAACAACTCTGAATATGCATGATAATAGCTGCTAACTTATAAAAAATCGCGTTTCAAATTGACTTCCTGTGGTGGTAATTATTTTAGTGCTAGAAACTTTGCTCTCTTTTATTTATTTGGTAATAATAGAAGACGACTGTGATTTATAAACGTTATTTAGTGTTTGAACCATCATATATATTAAAGGTAAGTCTCAGTTGTTATTGGCTTTAATGTATTTGATAAAATAAAAATACATGTAAAAATCTGTTGTTTTTGGGGATATTAGGGACGTCTTAGGTACAAATAACAACGAAAAAGGGGTCAATTGGGATGAGAATAAGAGAAATAGAAACGATCTAAGTATAAATGTTGGAGTATTTCCACTTTCGGGTAGCGGGCGGTCTTCGTAAGTCAATAAAACCAGAAATGTTAACTCAGAGCGTATATTACGCAGGAGCGTTCCGTCTGATACGGCGATTCGCTCGCTTCTGAGCTCGAGAGTTTTTTTTTTTTTTTTTTTATCCTACCTAAGCTGATAGCCCTAGCGGCTATTTCAGCGTAGCCTAACTTTAGTAGGTGAGCTCACGGGGCTCAAACCTGACGATGTTGCTAACACGAACCCTAGCAAGAGTCGTGCTTCGCAGAATCTACCACCGGATCGGAAACGCGACCCACTGAGAAGATCCGGCGAGAAACTCAGTGGGCTGTGTCTGAGAGTTAATTTACTCGNTCGTGCTTCGCAGAATCTACCACCGGATCGGAAACGCGACCCACTGAGAAGATCCGGCGAGAAACTCAGTGGGCTGTGTCTGAGAGTTAATTTACTCGTCGAGCCCTTCGTCGCAAGCGACGGGTTCGACGAGAACGGTGACCGGTGCTTGAAGTACCTAAAAGCACCGTTAGTGGATCGGGAGGACCCGAGATGACGTGTTTTGGGCGACGTCGACTGCTTTCCACTCTGTCCGCAGGATCGGGAATGTAGTTACCGGCGGCCACGATATGAGAGGGTTCTCGTGTCGTGCCGCTTTATCGAAGTGGCGCATGGACGCCGACTGAAGATACTTACTGATGGACTCTAAGTCCAGGTCGTCATGGAGGTCGACGTTCCTGACGAACCACGGGGCTCCGACGGCAATCCTGCAAAAACGGGATTGAATAATTTGAAATGATTTTAAGTGTATGCGGGCCGCGTGGGCGAACACTACACTTGCATAGGTCATGACGGGGCGTATGCAAGTTTTGTAGAGTGTCACCTTATTTCTAAGGGACATTTTACTTCTCCTACATATCATCGGGTAGAGAGTATATAGCTCGAGAGACAACAACGGAGCGTTTTTATCTTCGATCAACAATAGTAACTAGATTTCGGGTCAGCGCATAAATCCGTCTCGTTAAATAACAGCGCACTTGAAATGTGAGCTCTTATTTTGTTTAGTTCACTTCAGACACAGCCAATGTTAACCCGTCTCACAATGCCGCAGTGTGTATTCAAAAGTTGCAAAAAAATGCCCGAAAAAGCAATTTAACGGCCGGAGTATCTTACTTTCGGTAAGTACATGAAGTATACGTTATATTTTAAGCTTTAAACTAATAAATAATATTAAATTTTAAACAAAATTACCGATTTTTAACCACCGCTACAAATGTTGGCCAAGGCTCGCCAACACTTGGACAAACTTTTTGTTTAACAGAATAGTAAATTCATGGAGTAGATTTGTGTTGTAATAATTTTTTTAAATTTGTTAGCAGTACTTCAAAATTGGTTAGTTAAAATTGGTTAATTCTGCTTTTGTGTCTGTTTGTTGGACTCTCATTAGATACTTAGCTTTCCTTTTTTATTTTAGCTTTCCTATCAATCACGTGTGCAGAATGGATCTCGATTGTCGCCAGAGAAAGAAGAGATTACTTTTATAAGCCAGATAAGAACTCCACTCATTGACACTGGACATCTTTGCCTTCCATGTTCACGGCTACTGAAACGTGGCCGAAGCATTGTAATAAAAATATCGCGTTTAAAACCGTTTAAACGTTGTTTTATTATATGTACTAGTCGCGAAAACATAAAAAATACTATAAAAATATGTATTACACAAAACGTAACGCTAATAAAATAATAAGTAATGTATAGATACTATCAAACATAAATCCTCAAAACATAAAAAGTAAACAAGTAAACTTTTACTTTTATTCATATAATAAATTATTTTAGTGTTCTACGCGACTCCGTTACCTCCTGTAGTAAATAGAAATCGTAATTTCAAGAAGCAAAAATAAATAAAACAAAATGATGTTAGTTCCCAAAGTTATAACGGGAAAAATTACTTTATTTGTTGGGTTTTAAGGTTGATTTAACATTAAAGGTTGTTTAACATATGCCTTTTCATTTGTAAGTGAGAGGAGTAATTTATTGCTTTGTGACGAATGATCGTAAGTATTAGATACTGTTTTATCTGTTTTATTAAAATCACGAAATTATTAGAAAAAAAGCAAGTTGAATAAATATTTTACCTCCAGAAACCAAAAAAACAGTGTTTTACATACCTTTTCTGTATTTAATTCAGATTTCTGCCACACACACTTTTTTCTTCTTGATCACCGCGAACAGAAAAGGCGCCAAAGTTTTGAAAACTTATTCATAACTGACAATTTTATGACACATTTGACATTTTGAACATCTCAACTTCCTTTTCATATAATTATTCAAGTAATTATATAAAAAGTGTTTGAAAAAATAATTTATAAATCTTCAAACGGATTTTATTCAAAGTTACACGGAAATTCAAAGATACCCAACTTGACTGTAACTGATAATATAAATATTTGCCAAACAATAAAATAACACTGCATTGATAATTTTGAATAAAATTTGTAGACAAAAACATCATGAATAAAACAGATGCTTACCAACAAATTTAAAAAAAAAAATTGTCATAACTACATCGACAACCCTAGAAACCTGTATCTATTTATACTTAGGTCGTTTCCGTTTCACCGACAACTGACGGCTCGGGGCTGAGCCATGCTCAGCCGAGCAAACGCGCGCCCGAGTCAACCCGAGGCACGTCCACACCAGCCGAGGCATTTGACTCGCGAGGCTGCCGCGCGAGCCTGTGCGCTAAGTGGGTACGCGGCTAATAACAACTGAGACTTACCTTTAATATATATGATGGTTCAAACACTAAATTGCGTTTATAAATCACAGTCGTCTTCTATTATTATCAAATACATAAAAGAGAGCAAAGTTTCTAGCACTAAAATAATTACCACCACAAGAAGTTAATTTGAAACGCGATTTTTTATAAGTTAGCAGCTTTTATCATGCATATTCAGAGTTGTTTTGTGAACTTTCAACATTCTACTATTACACTACAAAAAATTGAAGATTTTGCAACGATTAAAAAACTAGTATTGCGCGTCGAAAGATTTTGTTAGTTTTTTAGTTTTACGGTACCTACCTATTATAGGATATTGTATAGCAGATTGTTTGTAGTACATACCACCATTAGATTCTACCAGGTGGCTCTCAAAATACTTCGTCATCACTTCCATTCCCCTATCTCCTATCTATTGCCTAGGCAATTCTGGTTGCTTCTACCAATTCGCAGAGCTACAAATCGACGGCAAAAAGCAAACCTGCTATAACCCACAAAATGAAAAATGTTCACCAGAGGCAAAAGAAAATTATTTATTTAAAAAAAAAAAAAAATCTCCTAAACTATAAAACTTAGAAGTATCATTTTAAGAACCAAAATGTATTTTTTTGTTTTCTATCAAGCCGAATACTAAGATTTTACCAGAAGTAAGTTTTATTATGTGTTTGTGTTGGTTACAACAATAGCAACTTTTTGTCTGTTACGTGAATTTGCTGTAAATGAAGCATATAAATGTATGGGAGACTCAAAATCAAACATTTATGCGTAAAGAATATTTGATGTAATTACATAAACCAATAAATTATCTGTGTCAATTCTGAAGTAAATGATATTCTTGTGTATAACTAGATGCATTTCATTTGTAGTTACTGCTAGAAATACTGAAAGGATGGTAAAACATAACGCTGTAACTATGGAAATTTATTTATTTTGTGAGAACAAAATAAAATATTTATCTGGAAATTATCTGGAAAGAACAAAAACAAAAGTTTATGTATGTTTTGTGAACAATAAATGTTGAATAAATAAATTATTTTAGGGTAAATTAAAAACATTATAAAATATCATAAAATCAAAATGTAATCAGTTTAACAATTTTTAAATCAATTTGCACTATCTATTTCTTGTATGTCTTCTTCATCTGTGTCCATTAAGTAATCCTTTGCTTTAATGCTTACTTTTAAATTTTTGTATTCTGCAGCAAACCTTGAAGGAATTATGTTTTTATTGACTAGACTCGTTAAATCCTTGTATTTTTTGGCAGATATTCCTAATGCTGTAGGGTATAACATATCCTTCAAACAATTTGTATTTTTTAATGGACTCAAAGGAATTGTTATG